TGGAAGCTTCAACTTGGCCGGGTCGAAAGAAGGGTCCTTCCTCTGGAGCCTGGCATAGAGAAGAGATCTCTCTTCCTTTTGGCCACACTGAAACCCATAGGACCCGACATCTGTTATCATTCTCTTCCCTTCCGGTTCCTTATACATGACTTTGAAAAAATCCATGGTATCCTCCGGATTGGTGAGAATGGACCGGGCGACTTCAGTGTGATGGCAGGCGGCCCAAATCGCAGCATCATCAGGGAAGGCCTCCTCTTTTGACCGGGCAGTTTCTTCAGCTTGAGCCAACGCCTCTTCGAGCTCAGCGACCTTTCTCTTGCCTTCCTCCTCCCACCGGGCAGATCTGGCCCTCTCCTCCTCCAGCAAAGCCCTCTCAGCCCTCAGCTCTACTTTTAACTTTCTCTCCCTCTCGACCAGGTCATTTATTTCTGATTTGGCCGAGTCAAGCAGGAGATTCAGTTGGGAGACCTGGTTGGTTGGCTCGATGAGTGACTGGCCAATCTCTTCAGATAGGACTCCAACCTGGAAAAGAAGTTTGTCAGTTAGAGACCAGGCTAATAATTAAACCGGGCGAAAAAATAGAGATGGCGTACCTTTTGGAGTCTTCTGGTCAATGCAAGGAAGGCTTCTTCTACCGACTCCCCTTCCAAGTCAAGCGACCCGGTCTTCTTCTTCTTGCCCCCTTTGGAACTCTTATGGGAGCCCTTCCTTTTCTAGCCCTTAGCATGGGAAGAAGAATGGCTGGCCTCCTTGGGCTTAGATTCAACCCGGTCGCCTTCGGAGAAATGGAGGGCTGAGGGTGACTTCACCTGTTTGTCTCGAATGAGATCGTCAAAGGAAAAGCACCGAGCAGTTGAGGCCCTTTCAACTCCAATGTTTTGAGAAGGGGAGGGAAGGTTGCGATTGGGAGACCGGTTGGAATGGAGGACTTGGACATCATCGTCGTCATCTTCAATGATGGTGGTCATCCTGTTGAAATTCATGTCTGAAAAAGAACAAAGCAACTAATAACCGGTTAGTTCTTAAGCCTTGTACATAAATGAAGAAAATGAAAGTAAGAAGCTTAAGAGAAGATGATCGACCTGGACGAGGAGAACTGGCCTCAGCATGACCATCCGGGGAGTTTGCCCGGTCATCTTCTGCGTCATGGGTCGCAGATTCACCCCCATCCGGGTTAGGTAACCGGTATACCCATCCACCATAGGCGTATGGCTTACCGGTCACAAGATCACCCTTGAGAAGTTTCTCGCAGGCATCTTCAAGCTCAGGGGTAGGCTCCGGGTGAACCCTGTCAGGTTTTATTACCCGGTCAGCCCACTCAGGGTTAGTGAAAGGAAATTGGTCAGAGGGAAACTCAATAAAAACGAATCTTTGTTTTCATCTCTTATGGCTGGGGGGAAGACCGGTCACAAACCCCCTCTTATTGCGGGAATGGAAATAGACGAAGCCCGGGCAGTTACTAGTCCCGGGCAAGACTTCGTACATGTGGAGGAAAAGTGAAAGGGAAGGGTCAATTTTCAAATTTTCACATATATTTACAAAACAATTCAAGAACCGGTGAGCATTTGGAGTAAGCTGGTCGGGCAGAATCTTGAACTTGTTACAGATTTCTACGAGGAGGGGGCGGAGAGGAAAAATAATACCTCCCTCCAGAGACGCAATATGGAAACCCAACCGGGTTCCCTGGTGGGGTTCAATGATGTTGGGCCAGGTGGTTGTGGAAAGGACTTTGTAGCCCGGTGGGAGGATGGTACGGACCTCGGCCAGAACCTTTTTGGTGACCCTAGAGGACTCTTTGAACACCGGTCTAACATCAAGGGCTAGGAAGCCCAAGGATCCCAGTCGTTCCTCCCATTGCTCCCAGCTAAGGACCTTGGGATTGAATCGACCGGGCAGTTGATTCAAAGGGACAGGGTCCTGGGCAATTATTTCCCGGGCCTGAGAATTAGATTGGTGAGAGGGGCGGCGAATCAAAGGAGTGACAGGGGGAGAAGAAGACTCAGATGAGAAAGAGGGTTGAGAACCCGATCCATAAGATTGACCGGATACATTTTGTGAGTCAGATGAAGACATGACTTCAGCTTACCGGTCAAAAAGTGAAAGATGGAAGAATTAAAAGACTAGGAGGACTGGAGGACTTACTTGGCAGGAGGCTAGAGAGAGAAAGTAGACCGGTTAAAACTTGAGGAGCGAAGGAGAGAAGTAAAGGAATGAAGTGGGTTGAGGGAGTATTTATAGGAGAAGAGGGGCGGAGCTCGAGGCGACAGGTGGGGAAAGGAGAGCCTGACACGTGGAAAAGGTAATGATTAAAGGGGGGAATTTGAATTTTGAATGTGGAAGATGAGAGGTTTTGGGGGGAAATTCCAAAACCCAAAAAGGCCAGGCTCAACGTTTGGACTCCCACAAATCCAAACGGACAGGTCATGCAGCGTAGTCTACAAATCCAAAAGTGCCAGGTCTGGTATGAAGACGGTGAATCCAAGAAATGGGCAGGTCTCCATGGAAAGGTCATGGGAATGGCTTGACAATTTCAAAGAAGAACAGGACAGGTCTTGAAAAAGAAAGGCTTGGCAATTCAGAAAAAGATAGGTCATGGGAATGACTTGATAATTTAGAAGAAGGACAGGTCATGGGAATGACTTGATGATTTCAAAGAAGAACAGGTCATGGGAATGACTTGATGATTTCAAAGAAGGATAGGTCATGGGAATGACTTGGTGATTTCAAAGAAGGACAGGTCATGAGAATGACTTGATGATTTCAAAAGTGATAAATCAACATGAATATACTTCCCGCCCTTGATGACTTCCTCACAAGGCCGGTAAGTGGAGGACTTCTTGATGGGTATATTCCTATACCCGACCCGGACAACCGAAAGGGACAGGTCAAAATATGACTGGTCACTTTTATCAATCATCAAATGAAGTTAACTCTTCGATTGGGACGGGTCAAAATGTCAAAATATGACCGGTCACATTTTGGGCGTTAGCCAAAATATCGCCTAATGTTACAAAGAACAATCTAGAAGACCAGAGACGGGTTGAGCACAAAGAATGACCGGGTAACCTTTGAGAGAAGGTGACCGGTCATATCATCGCACTTGACAAACATTGGTCCAGTATCTCAGGCATGGTGAACCACGTCAGAGGTCAAGGGGACACCCCGCCGCTCATCCATCACGAGGCACACAGTGAAAGGGATGTTTGTCATTTTGCAGGGTTGATTGGATTGAGAATATCCATTTTAGTCTTTGATTGAACAGTGCTTTTTGGTTGTATTAGTAGCAAGTCCATGATTGTACAGTGCATCCATTATCTACAGTGACCTTCCCACGAGCTTCCTATTTTGTCCATGGATGAACAGGGGAAGGTCACAAATCCTCCTCTATAAATATGATGATATTGGATAGAGGAGGGGATCCAATTTTTCTCTCACTAAAGTTCACTCTTGAAATAGAGTAAGAAATATAATTCGGACTGAGGAGATTTACCCGGTCTAGGTCATACTTTGTGTTCTTGTTGTGTGTTTTATATTACGGGTCGAGTGTGTCCAGGTCAAACCCGGTTAACCCACCCAGCTATATTTACACCATCAATTTCTATATTGAATTCTCTAAGAGATCATAAATATTCAAGCACTCTTTATATAGGAAGAAGGTAAATCATATAAGTAAACTCATAACTCTATTTTTTCTAAAACAATAGTTAAGCTTAAGTAGGAAAACACCAAATCGAATTCCTTTGGGATTTGATCCCTTATTGCGCCTCTCTCTATCGCAATAGTGCATATATGTCCATAGGTCACCAAAGTTTTATAAGTAGTGTTACATTATATATAAAATTATGGTGTAGACACTGGTCACATTGAATCTTGATTGGGGGAGTTCCGTTTCGCGTTGGGATCGTACGCCACGCCAACTCCATACCGCGCGGTCTAAGTACTGTTACACTTGGTGTATCACCCGGTTTTTTATTCAAATCTTTTAAATATATTCTAGACAGAAATTTTTATTCAGTTAGTGTCATTATATTGGACTCTTTTTTAATGGCATAGATTAGAGTAATTAGGGCTGGACACGGTACCGTCACCGGAAACGGTACCGCCGGTACCGAGCACCGTAACGGCAACCGGGACGGCGAAACGGTTCCGAGAACCGGAACCGGTACCGCCACATCCGGTCTCGGTTCCGGTGCCCCAAAATCGGTATCGGCACCGCCGGTACCGGTGCCGGTTCCGGTACTGGTTTTATTTTTTTTATTTTTTTTCTCCTTTTTGCTCTCCAACGGTAACCTGCAAAAAAACATAGTTAGTGGGGGGCCCGGCCAAAACGGCTAATTGGCCATTTGGCCGTGGGTCATGGGGAGGGGGGAGGGGAGGGGGGTAATTTTTTCCTATAAATACTCATTTTTTCTTCTAAATTCTAAAAAAATCACACTCATCAATCCATATCCATCTCTCTTACTCTCTTATCTCTATTCTCTCAAATTTCAATATCTCAATTTATCATTTTAATTTCTCAATCTTAATATCTTATTATCTCTTTTATACAGTTTTTTAAATATATTATATTTTAATATAAAAAATTTAGAAATTATTTGAAATTTTTTCGAAATTTAATATTTCTTTAATATCAAAAAATATATAATATATATTTTAAATATATTCTCTATTTTTTTTGAAATTTTCGAAATTTTTATATATAAAATTTTGAATTTTTTTTAAAGTTTCGAAATTTAATATATTATTTTTTTATATCAAAATATATATATATATATTAAAATGTCGAGAGAGTCCGGTAGAAGGTCCGTGGATATGAGCGCCGTGAACCGAAGTTCGAGTAGAGGCAAAGCAAAAGTCACCTCCGACGGTTCGACCTCACGCGTTTCTCGAGGAAGACACTCCGTCTCTTCCTTTCCTACTATCCCCGATCACTTAATCGAGGACGCTATGACGGATGAAGAATTCGACCAGATTTATTCTGGTAGAGGGGACGCAAATCTCCCCACTCTTGATAGTGTATTCGAAGATATTGATGAAGCAAATCTGGATAATCTGGACGGGGACGATGAGCCTACACCGCAGAGCAACGACGTCGACGTGGAGGCAGGTGAGCCCGCGACCTCTCGAGGTCCGGATAAAGGTAAAAAAAATATAAATCAGAGTTATTTGTTTATCATTTTGACAAAGAAACAAAAGATGGCGTAGTTTATGGAACTTGTAAACATTGTGGGACCGTCATAAAAATGGGAGTCTCCGGCGGTTATGGCGGTCCGGAAAAACACCTAAGGTCGAGGCATCCCGTGGAGTTTGCCAAATACGAGGCAAAAAAGAAGGGACGACAAGAAGTGCAAACCCAAATTTCTCGGTTTGCTAACAGAGGTAAGGGCGGCCTTTTTGCTTATAGCGACGAGCAAAATAAGCAAAAAATGGCCGAAATGATTTGTGAAGAAAATTTGCCATACATGTTTTCTGAGAAACTTGGTTTTATTGATTATTGTCAACAGGCATTAAACCCTCAAGCACGAGGTTTTTCAAGAAAAACAATTAAACGAGAAATTATTCGTCAGTATAAAA